TATATCGACATGCATGATAGTGATGATGAGACTTATGATCCAGCTAATCCCAATCATAATGATTATTTCTAATACATGTATGATCCGTGCTAATTAATTTTTTATTTGTCATACCATGTTATTTTCTAAGTATGTTTTATTTATTTTGCATCTGTTTTAATGTATTATCTGTGCTAATTGGTTTACTCTTTTTAATTGCAGGTGATTGAACAATGGTGGGCGGTATAAAGAGGATAGTGTCGCTTTACTCAAAAGCGACAGCGACGCGTAAAAGGTCCGATGCAGCTGAGGGATCCGGGAAGAGACCTCGGGGTAGACCCAGAGGTCGAGGGAAGGGTGGAGGCAAGATGAGGCCACCGTCGCCTGTACCTTCATCGCCGTCTAAGTTAGCTCCTGCTCACTCATCCTCTGAGGAGGAGGAGGTATAGGTGGAGGAGGAGGAGGCAGGTGGAGGAGGAGGCGGGGGGTGGAGGAGGAGGAGGCGGGGGTGGAGGAGGAGGCAGGGGTGGAGGAGGAGACAGGGGGTACCTCTTCCTCTACTTCATCGCATGTGTGGTTGCGAGGTCCCTCGACCCTCCCAAGGCGACCGATACCTCTTGAGAGACGCCCGCTGATTCGACCCGATGGAGACAAGTAACTTTATATGTTATCACTATTTTTTTGTTTGATATGTTCAAAATTACAATAGAAACTAATAGTTTATCTTAATCACTTGGGCAGGGATTGGAGGAAGGTCGGTGGAGGTGATCACGCACGCCATGTGAATGGCATCCTTGGTCTTTTGACCAAGGAAAAGTTCCCCAACCTGGTGTAGTTTGGCGGAACTATCGAGCTAGCCTACACGGGCCCACTATGCCATCCCGACACCCCTAATTGGGATGGCAGGGTATTCACCGACAAGGCACAGCGTGTCAAGGCTGAGCTTTGGGCAAGTCTTTCTCGCACTACATTGCTCAATACATCGCATTGATTGGACATTCTTGAAATAATGACTGGATACATCGAATCTATATATATGTAGGATTTCTTTAGATGCGAGGAGGGATACGAGGCCAAGGCGGATGCTATGGCTGACAAAGCCGCCAAGAAACTCGTCAAGGACATGCACTACGAGGCGCGCATCCAGGCTGTGATCCAATACCACGCGGAAATTCTTAGAGAGAGGATCCCTAAAAGGGCGGCAAGAACCATGAGCCTGACCGCGGAACAATACCTGAAGGTAAATATAGAATATTAATACTTATTTTTTTGAGATTAATTATGCTTAATTTCATCTTATTATATGTCATATACTCGATGATGTAGGTGCCTCCATGGTGGTGCGCCTCACGATCCAGTAATCTTTGGGCCCGGATGGTGGACAGGTGGTGCGACCCCACGTTGGAGGAGAATCACAACTCTTGTCGGGAGCGGCGTTTGCTGATGCTTTGGGTGCACCACACCATCAAGGCAACCTCAACCTCTCAGAATACGTGGCTAGATGTGTACACGACATCATTTCTTTATTCTAACGCTCAACTCTGCATAATTTCTAATCATATTGCGTTTTTTTGCGGTCGGCGGCGCATGGTGGCGAGCCTTGCTCCCAGTTCATGGCATATGCTTTGGCCCACAAGGGGAAGGCGACGTCCGATGTCGCCTACAGCCCAAAGGACCCGCCCTCGGCGTATAGCAACGAGTCCGTCCACAGTCGCCTCGATGGATACACATCGATGGCAAGGGTGGTCCATGGCCCAAAGTACGATCCGAGCGCCCATGACCTTGATGGAGAAGTGGTCATGAGGGCGGGAGGAGGCAAGAAGCATGGCCGGTTTTGGATTGGCGATGGCACAATCGACACGACCAGTACTCCCACTCTCTCCTAGATTCGAGCACGGAGCACGGGTTCCACTCCGGCGATACGCCCACGGCCGGACTCCAGGTTATTTCTGTTTTATTCATTGTTCATTGATTTTTACATACTTTTGCATTGCATTGTAACATTGGGATGAAATATTGTAGGCTCAGCTAGAACAAGAAACAAGGTGCCGAGAGGAGCTAGAGGCGAAGATGGAGGCAGAGCGGCAGAGGATGGAGCTACAGATGTTTGAATATATGAGGGGTGTTTATGCTGCAATCGGTCAACCTCCACCACCGATGCCAGTCCCTCCTATTCAACCTGCTCCAAACACTGTTTCAGGCACTGTGAGTCGCTTTACAACCTTATAATCACCATTTCTAGTTTATGCAGAATCAATCTTACAAAGATGCCTAGACACTAGAAACTTAGTGACTAATGCTATATGTTTGTTACCAACTAGTTGTGCAGCAATCTCTTCTCCTTTGTGCAATCTTGACTCACACATGCAATCTCTTCTCCTTTGTGCAGCATAAATTAACGGCATCGAATGAGCCTCATGACCCAGCGTGGTCGTAGTGGAACTCGTGGCCTAAGTGACTATTTGTATTTGTGGATTTGCATTTGCATTTGTGGATTACCTATGACTATTTGTGGTTGTGAATGAACCTACTAGTGATTATGAAGTTTATTTGCATTAATGTGTTGTCGATATATCTATATGAACTGCCTGTGATGCATATTGTGAACTATCTGTGATGGATGTGATGTTTATTTGAATGTGGTACGTGGCTGTGACCGAACCATATAAACTGATTATTTGTGGCAGCTTTGCCGAGTGTTACATTCGGCAAAAGCCCTATTTGCTGAGTGCCATGAAAATACACTCGGCAAAGAGACACATGGTAGAAATCTATGCTTTTTGGGACTAAAATTGCTTATTTGCCGAGTGTCTGCGCTGTGACAATCGGCAAAGAAGCCAACATTTGTACGTTCTGGGCAAGTCTTTGCTGAGTGTCCTAGAGTTGACAGTCGGCAAAGATGGTAGGTTTGCCACCTGCCGAGTGCCTGGGAGTTGACACTCGGTAAAGGATGAAGGTTTCTTTGAGTGCACGAATTTGACATACGGCAAAGGAGGAAGCTTTGCCGAGTGTCCGGGAGTTGACACTTTCGGCAAAGGAGGCGAGTTCTTTGAGTGCACGAATTTGATACATGGCAAAATGAGGAACGTTTGCCGAGTGTCTGGGAGTTGACACTCGGCAAAGGATGCAGGTTTGCCGAGTGTCTGGGAGTTGACACTCGGAAAACGTGCCGTGACCGTCTCCGTGCCGTCGCATTACTTTTTTTTCGCCGAGCGTCGATTTCAGCTCTCGGCAAAGTCTTTGCCGAGTGTTCGATAGAAAACATTCGGCAAAGAGGCGTTCACCGACACTGTAGATGCCATGTGCTGTTTGCTGAGTGTTACACTTGGCAAATCTTTTGCCGAGTGTTTTTTGATCTTTGCCGAGTGCTTGTGGCACACAGCAAACTCACAGTTTCCGTTGCCGAGTGTTTTTTGATCTTTGCCGAGTGCTTGTGGCACACGGCAAACTCACAGTTTCCGGTAGTGAGACTAGTTTGAAACTTGGTGAGGACAGATGTAGGAAGACCCTTGGTGAAGATGTCTGTGAATTGGGACGTCGTACGCATATGGGGAACACGAACGTGACCGAGGCCACGCATTCACAAATGAAATGTAGATCAATCTCGACGTGATTCATGTGATGATACCATGAGAGTGTGGAATAATTTGACTAATTATGCAATGTACGATGACTGTGCATCGCATTATTCACTTAAGCCTTTGTTATTATTAGTTGCAAAGATGCATCTCAATTTTATTACCCTTTTGCTACAGTGTTTCTCTTTATTAGTTGCAAAAACCTATTTTAATACACCATCGTTCAATTTCCTCTCCACTTGGCACATCAACCGAGTATGTATGGAGATTACGGAGGAACTGTGCAACATGCTCAAGACTGATCGATTTATTCATAATTTATTTCGAATATACAAGTAGATGATGATTATACAAATAAAGCTACAATTTTCTATAAGTACATGTAAATATTGATATAGTGAAATGCATGTTTACATATGTTGTTACTATGCATAGGAACATGGATAGTAGCTATTTGTATGTCTGATTACACTATGACATGCTTAGATATTTTTCCTTTCAACAACATTATGGAGACTTTATATGGAGTTGGGACCTTTAAAGGTACTATATGTGAGTATTCCTTCGGCTGCTATATAGCTCATTCACTCACTTGCCATACCTTGTTCTGCACATTACTTCTTCTGGCCATACTTTAGAATGCATGGTATGTGGATGTTAGAGAAATAATAATCCCAGTCAATGGACCTGGGATTAAAATTAAAGACCTCACTCTGGTCTCTACTTGTTGAAGTCTGAAGCATTGACAAGTTTGTGTCGTCGAAGCTGCATGTAAAACAAAGAAACAAAACCAAGTTAGCATTGTTGGTAGAAAAATATGCGTCTGTGGTAGGTGATAGGAATTGTCTTTGTATTTCAGTCTATATAACTTCAATGGTACTTGTATATGGTAACAAAATAGAGACCGATGCCCAAAGATATATATATACACACACTGATATGTGTGGTAATAGGAAAAAAGAGGAAACATAATCTCAGGAAATATATATAAAAAGGGGGTGGAGAAAATAGATCAAATAAGTATCTAATTAATGTCCACACAACCCCTGCTTTAGCTTTATCATTCCAAGAAATATGTAATGTACCATCACAATAAGAACATTGCAAAACCTACCGGGCATTGAAGAAACCATATGGTGCATATAACTTTGCCAAGAGAATGAAGTATTTGTAGCTTCTGTTCAACTTATTGTAGTAGCGAGAAAAGGATCCGCCCAATAATGGATTTACCACATGCAACATCTGTTTGTCAGATCGAGGGCACATAGTCAGAGTGATACACCAGAGCACATATGTTTTGCATCCACAATAAATTTGCAGTATAAGTTCTTGATGTCGTAGGTGTCTGACCTCTAATGGCAGATTGTACTTAAGAAACATGTAAGTTCGAAAGCATTCAAATTTGTAAGTTAAGAGAGTAACCTTTTAGCTTTGATGACCCTCCTATTCTTTCCTATCTGCGGGGTTAGTGGAAAAGTAGCGATACATTATATCCAATGTGGTAGCGGTAGACAACGGATTTTGCAAGGACGAGGTCACATGGATGACAACTTGGCCTTTCTCATTCCAGTGAATGGCCATCGCTGCCACCATTGCATTCACCACCATGTCTCCAGGAATCTGCGAACATGTCATCATATTTAAGCTTCTTATTATACTAGTATAAAAATGAAAAATATTTTATATCTTTGTTGATTCATTTATATTCTTACCACATCAAGGATGACATCACCATGGCCAATAAAACGTGGAATGGTTTGCTTGGCATAAGCAGCTATTATAGTATCAATTGTCCTGTAGGTTACATAAAAGTGTTTTTCCATTACATGTCAACTAGTTTACCATCATAATTATATTTATAAACCAGTTATAATAAAGCAATGTACAATTAGCATATATACCTAGTCCCTTCTATCCAGCCAGGCAACGGGTCATGGTAAATGCTGGTTACCATACTGGGACGAACAACTACAACTGGAAGGGGACCCCTGAAGTGCTCAAGAAGCATCTCACCCATATCCTTCGTGAACACATATGTGTTTGCCCATCCAAAGTGTCTAGCCCTTCATAAAAGACCAAGTTTCATGTGTTAAGTACCAACAGCATGCCACACATATATTCTTGAATTGTATAAGTTCGATGTGGAATTATGTTGGAACCTCTTCAATCCAAGTTTCTTCATGGTTTTCTTCTCTAACTGCTCTGAGTTACCACTTGAGTGCATAAGATCTGCCTTGATAGAATCTACCAACTTTAACTCAGCATCGATATCCAAATGGCAACCTTGTTTTATCATTTCGCTAATCTGAAATGGCTTCTCCAATAAAAGCCCTTGTTGCTCACAAGCTACATATGCTGTCAATTTAAAAATAAATTTAACTCACTGAATATCCACTGGCAATGCCTATTTATTTGCTATTCCATTAGCAATGATATCAGTATATATTTATCAGGATTACGTACCAGTGGAAACATGAAGCAGCATTTTCAGATTACGGCACTTGTTCGCAAATTTACAAACGTATTTTGTGCCCAAGACATTGGATGCCAAGGCAACATCATATCTGCACACATGCATGCTCATTAGTCACGTGACCCGGCCCAGTTCATTTTTGTTTTGTTTCTTTGAGTATTGTACAACATGGATGAATAATACCTTTCTTAAAAATTTGTTGTTGCTGCTCCATTGACTATGATGTCAATCTCCTTTGACAATTCCAATATCTTGGAGCTCTCAAGCCCTAAATTCTCATCGATTATATCACCGGCTAAAGGTGATATCTTTTCTTTGGTGAAACTATGAAAACTGGACCCATACTTTTCTCGCAGGGTGCCAAATAATTCATTCCCTACAACCTAAAAAAACAGAACTTGAAAAGTTACACTACTGGATTCAGGCGATTTGCCGAGTGCCTAATGCACTCAGCAAAGGCTACTTTCCCCTCGGCAAAGCCTTTGCTGAGGGCAGCACTCGGCAAAGTGCCTCCGGTAAAAAATCCATCGGCAAAGAATTCTTTGCCGAGCGCCTTTTATCGGGCACTCGGCAAAGTCTTTGCCGAGTGCAATCTCGGCACTCGGCAAAGAAAAGTCCCCGTCACGGCACCGGTTCCGTTAGCACATGCTTTGCCGAGTGTCATGTCAGAGGCGCTTAGCAAATATTTTTTAATTTTTTTTTCAAAATTTCTTTGCCGAGTGCCCTACAGGGGAGGCACTCGGCAAAGATTTTTTTAATAATTTCTTTGCCGAGCGCCCTGCCAGGTCGATGCTCGGCAATTTTTTTTTTCGTAATTTCTTTGCCGAGTGCCCTGGCCCTGACACTCGGCAAAGCTAATGCAGAATTCCCAGCTTTGCCGAGTGCCAGGGTCAGGGCACTCGGCAAAGAGGCTAATTTTTTTTTTTGATTCTATATTCACAAACACAGCATATAAGAGATATATATAACATCTGTGACATCACAAACACAATATAACGCATATATATCACATCCATCTCATCACACAGGCAATACCACATATATATCACATGTCGATCACACAATATCTCACATACACGACATCACAAGCATAATAGGTCCAATATCCATCGAAACAAGTCGATAGTTGATCACAGTGCATCACATGTCCATCAAGCGGTGAAAAAGAGATACATACTACCGGTGGGGAGGAAAATGAGTGCTTGGTGAAGGAAAAGTGCCGTCGCCTGCTTGCGCCTGAGATGGGTTATTCGAACCCGCCGACGGAGGCTGCATAAAGGACAAGAGATTGCATATGTTAGAGTGGTCATCTAATGAAAGCACTAGTCGAAGCAATTTGGTTTCATACTCAAGGTTTTAAATCTCGGCTATAGTCATAGCTATAGCCGCAGAGATAGTCATTGGACAAGATCAAAGCTAAGATATTCAACTTTTTGCGCTAAGAAATGAAACCAGCTAATAGCCGAAGAAATACGGCTATAGCTGCTAAACGTGCCGATTTAGCTGCAGCTAAAATCTTCGTCGACCCTAGAAAATAAGCCAGTGACCCAACAGCCCACCTTATCCCAATTCAGATCCCCACCGTAAGCATCTAACCCAACCCTTGCTCACTCTAGTCCAATCCCACGCGCCTCTCTCTCTACCACGGAAAAGGAGCCGGGCGGCGGCTTATGCTTGGAGCAGCGACGGGCGGGCGTGTTGAGATTTGCAGCAGCCTGAAAGCAGCCGGAGACCCCAAGTCTGTCACCTCCTCTACTACCACCGACTACGGCGGCGCAAGCGCGCAATCCCGGAGCTCAAGCGCGGGCGTGGTCCCAAGAGCATGCTTGCAGGCGTGGTCGCCGGGCTGCAGCGGCGGCGGCGGTGGTGTGCAAGACAAGCGAGTCAGCACGAGCAGCACTCAAGTTCTTCATCTTCCCCAACCCGGTTCTTCATCTACCCATCCTGAAGGCAGCACCATGTTGCTGACCCCAACGTCGACAATTCTTCATCTTCCCCAACCTGTCCTATTATGTGTGTTTTTTGTAAATTTTTTTCCCAAAAACAGCTAAATGGTTTAGCTGCAGCTATCTCCGGCTATAGCTACGCGCTTAGTCACCGAAAGGTGACAACAGCTAAGAGGCTTAACCGGAGATTTAAAACCTTGTTCATACTCATAGGACTAGCTATAACTGGCGGCGACGGTGGAGCGAACTGCGGCACAGCTACATCGTGCATTTGCCCAAAGTTCTTCGGGAACGTCGTAATCTCCGCCAGCTGCTTGGCCTGCCTTTCCCGCTCGGCCTGCTCGGCCTGTCTTTCCTGCTTGGCCTGCTCGGTCCTCGCCGCCAGGTCCCGCAGCTCCTGAGCCATCCTCTCATTATCGGCCTGCAACATTTGAATCGAATGTTTTAGTAATGCATAGGTAACTAAGTTATTTAAAGATCAATGTACGAAGAGTTAAACGGGACTAACCTAGAGTGCATCGACCCGCTGCTGTGAAGGGGATGGCCGTTGGCGTATGGCCGGGCCTCCGCTCGGGGTCTGTGCTCGGATCTAGGAGAGGGAGGGAATCTCGCTGGGCTCGAGGATGCCATCGCCTATCCAGTACCGCCCATGCTTCTTGCCTTGTCCGAGCCTCATGACCATCATCCCATCGATGTCGTCGATGCTCGGATCCCAGTCTGGCCCATGGACCGACCTTGCCTCCGACGCGTACGAACTGATGCGGGTGTGGACGCTCGGGTTACTGTAGGACTCAGGTGGGTCATCCGGGGTGAAGGTGACAGCGGACGTCGCCTTACCCTTGCGGGCCGACCCATATGCCATGAAATTGGAGATGGACCGCCCACCATGTGGCCGATCGCGAGAAAGACAACAAGATGATTAGAAGAAACATATAGAATGGAGCATAAGAATACTAAAATTCACGTGCACCCATGCTTGCTTATGCACGCCGAGAGGTCGGCTGCCTTGATGGTGTGTGGGGGCTGTCATTTTATACGCCTGCTCCCGCCCGCCTATCGTGGTCCTGGATATAACCCTCCGTGAACCACCTGTCCCACGATCATCTCCCAAAGAGACCCGATCACGACTCGCACCACCATGGAATTGTCTACATGTCATAAAGAATTTGAGATGTAAGAAGACCAAATTAAAGCTACTTAATCTCAAAAAGAATTTGTGATCACATGTGGAGATGTGTGGCTTTTAGGCATTCGACGTCACAACTTGCTTCAAACTTTCTTAATTTTTTACCACGGCCTCCACATGTGATAACAAGACACCTCGACAAGTTTCGTGATTTTTGGACTTCGTTTGGATTTTATATAATTTAAATACACTTTTACCATAAGTACATCGTCATGTTACGACAACAAGATGCTCGTAATTTCATGCGAGTTCCTGGATATGGCCTCAACATACGCCAAACATCATGAATACCATTTTTTGAATGACCAAATTCCATTATTTCATGTACATGTAGTTCAAATTTGAAATAGTCGGAAAAATTCAACGAAACAAAAATAATTAAGGAAATATAGTAAAAAAACTCAAAATTGTTCCAAATTTTGAAATGGAGTTTTAATTACTGTAGCAAGGCCCCGGGAAAAAATGGGGAGAAAAATACAAAAAAAAATTAATTTGCTGAGTGCCAACCTTGGCACTCGGCAAAGAATTTTTAAAAAAAAATTAAAAAACCTTTGCCGAGAGCCTAACGTCGGGGCACTCGGCAAAGGCTAACGGCAGATGGCCGCCGTCACGCCGGCCACCTTTGCTGACGGCCAAGTTTTGCCGAGAGCCCGACACTCGGCAAAGATTTTTTTGTCGACGGCCGCTCTCGGCAAAGGCATATTTGCCGACGGCCTATCTTTGCCGAGTGCCGCTGGGTCCGGCTCTCGGCAAAGATTGCCTTTGCCAAGTGCCCGACAGAAAGCGCTCGGCAAATGTATTTGCACTCGGCAAATCGGCCGTGTCCGGTAGTGTTAGTTCTTGATCATTTTTCGTTTTTGTGTGCTTAATTAGATCTATATCCCAGTCAACTAATAAAGATCATTATTTTTTAGTCAACAGATGGATTTCAGTTCTAAAGTTATTATTAAAATCACACAAATATAGGTAGGTGAGATCTAGGTCCTTTTATCAGGGTCAGTCAAACTCAATAAGTTTTGATAATTGAATGAAAAAAATAATGTTCATCTCTGAAATTGACCTTAAGTTCAAACTACGTACTAAATTACAAAGTTAATGTCTGCTCCACCTGATATATATAAAATTTCCCTCGCATACCAATGAACTTAGCAAGACTACAATAAGACCCGTTCTTGATGAATACATGTGTCGCCCTAAAAAAGTGTGCATTCAATCTTTGACCACTTATATATGAAACATTATTGGATTTAACTTGTAAATTAAATGAAAACATAAGTTATATTTGTTATAAATGAATTTATTTTTAATAGAAATTATTATTTTGTACTAAAATATGGATATAAAATATTACTGTTCATCCTATCAATGGATTCAGAGTTTGTCTTAAGTCAAATTGTATATGATATGTATGACCATGTTTATAGAAAAGAACAATATATAATATTGGAGTATCAAAGGAGCATAACTAGATGTATTATAAGATATATTTTCGTAGTTTACCTCTTTAATATGGTATAGGCCTTAATACTTTTCTTATAAGCTTGGTCAAAATTAATATAATTTAACTTAGAAGAAACTTATATTCCATTGTATTTTAGGATGGAGGTTGTGATAAGCAAAGATGCCTTTTAGGGACCATGCCAAAATCTAAAATGACATCAATTTCTGCACTTAGGAAATGATATTTTTATGGTGCATGATGGGCAAACTACTCAACCATCTTTAAAAAGAATGGGAATTCTCGCTTTTGGAGGAGTCAAATAATTTTAAACTAACTAACTAACTATATATATATATATGTATATATATATGTATATATATATATATATATGTATATATATATATATATATATATATGGAACTACTACTCTGTAGCTGGC